GGAATGCCGTAACAGCTTATTTAGGAAATATCTCCACCTTTTCACATAAGATCCAAACACACAGGCTCACAGTGAAACCCCTCTTTTTCTCTAAAGAAATGTAATTAATTTTCTGTGTTAAGAATATAAGGGGAGAAAGATCAAGTAAGATTAATCCAATGGCAAATTCCACCATCCTCCTTTCTGGGATGTGAAATATGTCCTATCTCTCCACGCAGCGATTCCTTTCTCTTCCAGCCTGAGCTATCAAAACTCTTTTTTTCCATTTAAACAGAGAGAGATATGGCATCCAGCTTAAGAAACCAAAATGTGTATAGCCCAGGCCACTGAAAATCCAGCCACATACACTGAAATTCTGGACTCCTGCCTCACACTATCACAAAGTTCATGCTAATACCTTTAAAATATGAACCTTCAGGGGAACTTACCCACACTGGGAAATTGTGCTATGTACACTCACACAAGCTCTTAGAGATCTTACCCACTGCCAGTTGACATAATTTTGAACAAAACTGTCTCTCTTAGTGTTAAATGGTAAGTGTTGCTTCATACCATTAACTAGTTAACATGTTAAATCAAATTGCCACTTACTGAGGCACAGCCCTCAGAATGGATTCTGGAAAATATGTTTTTTCAATTGACTGATTGACTGGCTACAAACACAGCTGTGAATTCTTCTCTTAAAAAATTATCTCTTAATCTAGGAAGCACAATGCAAACTCATGGTGGAGAGCAGGTAATACAAATAATAGATGGCAGGTTCCCAACTGGTGACATTTGCCAAATCACCACAAGAACTAAAGAGAAGAAAAACCCTTTCAAAACAGGAAAGAATTACAGAAAGAGAAAGATCTGCATCTAAAGGAACCCAAAGCAAAGAGGTACAAATTTCATTCTGTAACAAACACTGGTGTATTGTAAATACAATAATATTACATTCTGGTCTGATTTACTTCATTCTCATTTTACCTTATCACAATCCCCATTCTTTATTTGTTTATCAGATTTGTTTTGCTTTATTGGACTTTTCACTTCTAAAATCTGGAAAATAAAGAAAATTCTGTAAAAATTAAATGCATCATTGGATACAATTATATATGAAAAATTCTGCTATCAGTTAACAACACAAGGAATTTAACATCTGAAGAAAAGGTAATCAAAACTCAAAACGTAGCTTTTCACTCTTCAGTCTACATACAACTTACTCATACTTTTCATTACAAAGAAGCTTACAGCAGAAAATGTTGAGCTGCTGGAATGAGGTGATATTTATATTATTAGTCCTTAAGATAATTATTTATATAACATTTAAAGCTTCCTCAACACTTCTTTGTATCTTTAGCATGCTGGTAGGATAAGAGGTCTGATTTTGCAAATAAAAAATGATGCTGAGGTACTCTCCAGCACCTTAGAAATGTATATTTCTTCTTTTCTTTGTTTCCCCAGTGCTGTCTCTTTTAATCTACAATAGAGATTTTGAAACATAGTCTTTGAAATGAAACCATGAATTTTAACTGCAAAACACCCCCAAAGATCATTTGACAGTAATTTCTCTTGCATTTACATGGTACCCTTCCTCCAATGCCATAGAAAGCCATTTACCACCACATGCTTCAACCAGCACTGAAGCACAGTCAACAACACGTCCACAGGCAGTAGAACACTGTGCTTATTATGAAAATTTTAGGACTAAAGCAAGCACCATTTGGGGGAAACAGAACGGATGACTGTTCTTCCAATTTTTTTTCACACACTACACACACTTTTTAAAAATTGAAATTTAAAAAACAAATAAACCGCCATGCCATTCCTAATCTGGAATATGATCAGTTCTGCTGAAAAATATCAAAGGAAAATAAATTCTTACAGATTATGGGAGATTTTGTTTCACATTTCACTGTAAGACTAACAACACTAGCATGAACATCTCCAAACCCACACTGGATTGTCATGATACAGGACAAAACTCAGCACATAAAACAAGGAAATAAGGCATGTAAAAGTAAGTCTCTTAGACTTGCAAGAAGCCTCAATAACAGTTTTCTTGAAGTCTCCTCTCATTTCTAGTTCCCTTGGCTTACATTACTAACATTGCCTGTGTGCTCCCAAGGTGACCATCACCAAAAGAATACAGGAGGCAGGCCTGTACATAGAAAGCGACTGCAGGCCTGAATTAACTTTGCCTACGGATTTACTTGGCCACGAGTGCTACATGGCCAGAAAGCAAAACATACTTCAGGAAGAAAAAATCCCAGTTCTTCAATTCGGCACCCCCTGGGGTTACTGCTGTGTAGGCCAGTGGAAGAACAAGTCTTGTTTTGAAAAAGCACAGACCTCTAGGCGTGGATCCAGTACATTTTAGATGTTTTTCTTGTTTTTAATGGAAAAAAAATTGTTTTCAAATAGAAGTTTAGCAAGGGCACAGTATATTTGAAGTGGCTTCCTTACAATGCTCTTGATATGTTTCTGAAATCTAATGTCTTAAGTACTCTTGTTTAGATGAGAGACAGCACTAATCACATCTGAGGAAGTATACAGAAGTATTAACTCTATCTTACACCTCTAGTTCTATGAATGGACTTAGTCAATACGAGCCTGATTTCATCAGTCAAAAGCATTGTTGTGGCAAGCAGCAAAATGCTAACACAGGTTTCAAATGTGGCTGTGGTGCATACAATTTGAATTCTCTAAATTTTTGGTTTTCAGCTCAACTATAGAATTCAGCTCAATTATAAAAATGGAAGAAGGCACATGACATTCCATTTCAGCTGGTGCATTACTATTGTTTGGTGTGTCTAAATGTGCAGGTAAACCTTCTCTTAGATCACTGAAGGGGAAAGAAACATGAAAGATGTGACTGAGTGCGCTGCTGATACTGAGACTTACAATTACTTAACAATTACATTGTCTCTGTAGAAGTTAGTTTTCATGAAACAACCAGCCATTGATAGGTGTTCTGTTTTCCCTGTGCATATGCCTTCGGTAAATAGAGTATTTTTTTATCTTTATAGCTTGTTTTTTTCCCAAAAAGACTCTGTTGTAAGACCTTATAACTTTTTTACAGATAACTTAGAAAAGCCAACAGAGTTCCTGGTGGATAATAAGAATGCGTTCTGGACATGGAATCTACTTCCTCACTCCGTACACAAATTACTCTTTAGTTTTCCCCTCCTCCCCTTTACTGTATTAACCAACATGAATGATGTTTTGGGTTTGCAGTATCAGTAACCTTGTACTGGAAACCTTATTAGAAAAACAACAAGTAAAACCGTTTCTGCCAGATAATTGCAGCAGTTAACCTAAGAGATATAGGAAAGACTCATTCATAAAATTCATTAACAAAACCACAAATCTTTGTTAATACATTTAGACACTATTCTGACTGTAACAGTACTGTAAGCAGTGATTTATTGCCAGTAAATAAATTTCATTACTGCTTTGTGTATGAGCCAACTGACACTGGGAGTGAATTATGTAGAATAAGTGACAAATGAAATATTATTTAAAGAATGGGTATTTTTTTTAAAAAGAGTATCAGATGTTATGTTTAATTTTATATTTAGAGAATCTTACTTTAACTGGTGACTGGGGATGAGGTAACTCCCAAACTCTAATTCTCATTTGTCCCTGATCTATTTTTTACCTCTAGATTACTTCTCTCTGAAAAACAGAACTACTCAGCTTTCCTACTTCAAAAATAATAATGCTTCCTCTAACAGATAAGGAACAAATATTCTCATAGTGAAGTAAAAACCATAGTGTCTTCTAGTGAAGTAAAAAAATTGTATCTCCTAGATTAAACACTGGTGGGCGGAGAGGGGAAGAGATGAATGAATAAACTCTGGAGGATGAGCCTCTTGATGCGAACTGTCTACTACTAATACAAATCTAAACCTGTGTCAGTTGTATGACTGCTGCTGTAAAGCCAATTCGCATTGTTTACCTTACAAAACTAATTCATAAAAAAAGGACACATTTCTTCAAATACTCATGAACACATTACTTTGGTCTACAGTACTCACTAAAAAAAATAATTCTTCTGACAAAAAGCTCTTACTTCACAAACTAAACAACTTCGCTGAAGTTATGAGAATTTTGTATCAGCTTCCCAGGACTTCCATCTATGAATGCTCACTTTACCTGGTTGTTGTTGGTTTTCAGTAAGGGTGGTGCTGGGTCATGGTGTAGTGGTGAGGAAGCTGAACTGCTGTCGCTGTCACTGCCATCACTCAGACTAACCCTATGTAAAAACAGATCCAAGAGTTTACAGCTCCAAAGGGCTGTTAACAGGGATGAATTGAGCTTGTATTTTGAGGTAGGACACTAAGAATGACCCCTCCTTAAGCAAGTCATTGTTAATCAAGGTCACATGGAGAAGAGGGCAGCTCTCTGAAAAAATCTTTGCATAGCATGGAGAACAAGGCTGTCTGCCTGCACTTGGCTGAGATGACACATCTGCTAGCAGCAGCTAACATTACAGAAAAGGTTAAATTATTTAGGATACTAACTAACTGCTGTTCCCAAATGCAGCAAGTCTGTATCTCAGCTCACAGCCACTGGGAGCAAGGAAAAGCTTCTGAAAGCTTTCTAAGCAGCTGTACTTCCCACTTGGACAAGTGCTCCACTGAAAAGTTCTTGTCATAAATAACATTATTTTTCCTGGCTAAGATTTTTAAATGGAGTATTTCAGGAGAAGCCGCATGAAAAAAATAGGCTCCTAGTCAGTGTCACCTTTCATTTACTTAGGAACAACATGAAATATTTATTGTTGGAAGAAAAAAAAATGTTATTTGGGATAAAAATAACATAGATAAGTATTAGCCTTTAGGTTTTGCTAAAAAAATAAAATAAATGAAACAAAATCTCCACACTTAGAGATAACTTGAGCTTGAGACAATCCTTCACACAGTCACTGAAACAAACAAATTCTCAAACTGCTAGTCATCATGGTCTTTTCTCATTGATTCCAGCTGCTAAAGGGCACCAGGGAAGCAGCTGACATTCAGTAATGTCTTCCTGTTCACCTCCCATTTAAGCAGTAGCTGAGACTGGCACTCAGGTGCTGTGGACTCACAGCAAAGCCCACTATGAAAAGGTTTGAGACAGACGTTGAGGTTTTCTATAACTTTTAACAATATTTGGATGCAGCTTGAAGCTGCCTTAATAGTAGATAATTTCTGGAATGCCTGTTTAAGATTGCAGCTAGGATGCAGAAGCTTTTTCTAGAAAAGTAATTTCTGTCACAGGTGCTTGCTTTAGCTTCTATCTGTCCTTTTACACGTTTCTGCACATGCAGTACAGAAATTACTTGAAATTCAAACTTCATTGATTCTGATCCAACAACCTAATCTAAAACTGATACGCAGAGATTTTGAAAATGAGACACTATGCACAGAATAACTCATCCAGCAATTGAAAGGACTTAATCTCTGGCATAAATGAAATAAAATTACTTCTACTCCCCTGAAATCACAATGGCATAACACCAAGGAACACTGAATCAATGAGGTTCATCATAACTGTAGAGATTAGTACAGAAACAGTTTTTATTTGGAATGGCTAATTCAGAGTTTTTAAAAGAGGCATTTTACATGCATATGCATTAAAAAGAGAGTGAATTCTCTGCCTGTTTGCTACTCCTCACTCTTTGAGAACATTAGACATCACCCCACTGCCAACAAGCACAATGTCTTAGACACCAGGCTATTGAAAGCCACTCACCTGTGACTCCTGCTTCCTCCTCGTGTTTTTACAGGTCGTTCCAACTCTGAATCATTGTCATTCTCATCTGCTTCATCTGATTCATCTTCATTATCATCGGAACGCAGACCTTTCATTATAGACCTCAATGGACCTGCAACAACAGAGACAATAAAATACACGAATGAAGTCCACATGTTGGTGTTCCAGGCAATGCACCCAGCTTTGTAGATGATAGAAAATTACTCACTCCACACTGTGTTGGGAGGGGAGAGGCTTAAACTTTGAAAAAATGAAGCAATGCACTGGTGGCTTATGCTTTAGGGACTTATCCCTTAATCATTTACTCAGAGGAGCAACTCAGACCACTCCAATAGATCTACTCATGGCAGTGAAGTCACTCATGCTCAAGTGTTTGCACAATTGCTCAAGTAAATAAAATACTGCCATGTCAGAAGAAACTGACATTCATTGTATTATTATTAGAAGCAAGATTCTTTCACATTGCAAGGTTTTAGCATTTTTGCTTTCTCAAAGGGTACTTATATGCAGGTGAAGATTTACAGGGATGTACTGATCAGTAATTAACAGCACATCTGTTAAATTGATCCATGTATTGATAAGCAGAGTATAAAAAAGTCATTCTGGCCAAGGCAGTCTTTGTCTTCCTGGTTTTTATGTATTTAGCTTTAGCTGTTCTGTTTATTTCAGGGTCTATTTCAGGTCAAGCAAGTGTTGTGCCAACACTCATATGTAAGAGTACCTCAATCCCACACACCATTATGCTGTATCTTTTCCTGAATCAACAGAAGGTACAAAGCTTGACTTGCTCATAAAATTGCATTACATTCAGCTTGGGATTTTTGTTTGCTTTTATTCTATATTGCTGTAAAAGACAGCTACAGGAAAAGGAATACGTTTAAACATACCTGGGAATTGTAAAACTACAGCTGCTTGAAATCAGAATGGGGAAAAGCAGCTTAGAAAAGGGAAGGAAGCAATGCTGTTACAGGGCACTTAACTCAGAAGTACTGCTTTGAGTGCTTTTGAGACACACAGCAGCAAGTAGAAGCAATGGTGGCCCCACAGGAAGGGCCATTACAATTAAGGTTCACCAAGCAAGCTTCAGTGCTCTTCAAAGGGAGATTAAGCTTGCAACTCCCTATTTCCTGATGGGGAAACTAAGTCAAGGAGTGTCAAGCCCTGATCACTGCCAGAAGAGAAGACAGACATATTTTCTGTCACAGTCACATTGCTAACAGAGGGGGTGTTTCCTCAATGGGAGGAATCACATTATGAAGTATTCCAGATGAAGAAAGGCTTAGGTCACAGGCATTTTGCCTAGTTTTGTGTGACTGACTTCACAGCTGAAGTTGATAATGATTTGCCACAAAGGTTGTTCTAGGTTCCTTTTCACTGTTTTTCCACCTTAAGCTCAGCTGGAAAGAAGCACAAATGGTGCAGATGGGTAAATTCCTAGTCAACCAGACATTTGAACAGATGTCATGAAAATAGGAGCTAAACTGAAGTGTTTCTTGTCCACACAAGCATTGCTGATCTACAAAAGCAGCTGGTCTGTGCTCTCTTTTGTGTTCCTATTTGGGTCTCCGGCAGAAAATGCTCAGGTATTTGCAAATGTTATCTTGTAATCTGCCTGAATATCTCATCACCTGACCCTTGAAAGAGAGTAATTACTCCTTCCTCAGCTTTTAATAGGAGCAGTAATAAACACCTTACTGGGCAAAGACACTAACAACTACAACTGAAGTTCAGCTGAAGTTGGTTGTCTTTGCACTGAGAGCAGACTAGTCTCCTTCTACTTCCAAGGCCAAAGTCAGCTTCTGAGAACACATGCATCTCTTCTCCACAACACATAGGAGAAAGAAAACTATAGAAAAGACTTGGTAAAGGACAGGTGAAAGGACTCATGATGAGAGAACAGAGGAAACAGTCAGTGGGAGGAAAGGTAAATTCATTAACCAAAATGTAATTTTGTAATGAAATTTAATACATCATATGAATAGCAGGTCTCACATAAAACACCAGCATATATCTCCCCAACATGGAAACCGGTAGCTCTGGTCACTCAAAACATCAGTCCTTGATTTTATTATTAAATGGAAGTAGAAAGAAAAACAGAACACATTTTTTTATGATCCCTACACAGCCTTCTCTCCCAAGCCTAAGTCAACTTATTATTCTTGCCTATCTCCTTTTTCCAAGTATAGCAGACAGCCATTTTATCCCCTGATCCTCCCTTACAGTGTTCTTGGACAATCAGACAGCCCAGTCTCAAGTGGCTAACAGGCTTATTCCTCTTTCTTGGAGAAAAAGGAACTTGGACATCTGAGACATACCCATCACTGACAGCCCCATAGATACTGAAAAACCTGTCATTCAGACAAGTTTTCACTAAATGTAGGACCATGACTGTGACTTTGAATAAGCATTTTATATCCAACTAGCTACCTTTTTCCATAGACTTTCGTAACAATCAGCAAAGTATTATTTTTTAGGTCTTTTCTTTCTAGCACTGAGAGTGATGTCACTGTTAATCGTTTGCTAACTGTTTGCTCTTTGCTAGCATGTGATTAAAATTTCCATTACAACATTTTAAAGGGTATGAGCAGTTGCTATCTCCTAAAGGGTCAGAACTGTTAAGGAGAAACTGAAAACTAGGAGCTTGCCAAGAGGAAGTGGTCTTGGGAAACAAGAGAATTTTTCAGAATAAGCCCCAAAGGCAGAAGAACCTAAAGAACTTTAGGCTAGCCCACTGCTTATCCAAACAGGGGTATAAGAAGTTCATGCTGTGGGTTTCTCACACTTGAGTAAGCACTGGAGTTTGAATGCAATAGAAAATGAGCAATGGTCCTGGCAAGGAACTTCTGGTTAGGGAAAATGCCATTGGTTCTGACCAAAGCATAACATAAAGTGGGTACATGCCACAGTATGCATGGTACTTTGCTCTTTCAATATACAAATGCATGACCTGAGCATTTAGTTAACTGGAAGTCCCAGAAAGAAGCAGTAATCTCTGTTTACTGTGGTACAAGAAACTGAAAGACAATCTGTGGTATGTCTTACATAACTCAGAAGCAATGGATGGATCCAGTCTGCTTAGAAGAAAGACTAAGTCAACAGGTTTTTGCCCAACATTAGGTAACAGATAAGGAATGGGTATCCAAAGTTTTTGGTTTGTAATAGACAGTCCACAAAGCTGATGAGGTTTTAATGAGAGGAAAAATGGGGTTTCAGCAAGAAGGGCTTCTGTTCAGCCTTAGATAAAAAGTGAAGCCAGTCATCATCCACATTTAACTTTAGCTCGTTTTCCTTCTTCTGGAGTAACGCTGCCAGGACACATCATAAAATGGCCACAAGCCACACAAAGGAAGGCAGCTTGTTTAAAAACAGCCTTCCTGAGGCACTAAAGCATTTTCATAATCTTAGTTTAAGTCCACCATTGAGGAATATAAATGGATAAAACAATTCCAATTTTAATCAGTCAAAAGCTGTTTTTTAATGCTCCTGGTACAAAGAACAAAGGAAAACGCTAAATAAGAATGTATCAGTTGTACATTCCTGCACAGTCAGGGAAAAGGTCAAGCAGAAACTAGGTAGTTTAATAGATCATATAGAATGAATCTCTACTTATTTATGGAAAACCTGCCTTGGCAAGTTCTCTGGGAAGAAAAATGCATTTATCTATTGAGTACCAAGTAAACCATAATTATTAGCCAGAAAACCAAAATTTAAAATTAAAGTCAACTTAAAGTTTAACCATCATCTTCCCCTGCCATGTATCTAAGGTAAATAGTGTTAGCTCTTAGAACTTCACAATAGTCTAGAAACTCTGAAAGGGTCTGCATACACACATCCTTGGGCTTCCCATGGAAGCCACCCCTTCCTGACAGGGCTTCAGGTGGAGCCAGGGGCCATGCTACCTAAATCTGCCAGGGAAACACCTCAGAAACAGAAACTCTTGAGTTTAGCATCTGCTAAGTGAGTAGCATGTATTTAGTGCTACAAAACAAAAATCTTTCACACCTCTTTCATGTTTCTCCCCTTTTGTTTTGCCCATACAGCCACATCTGAAAACAACCCCAGGAAAAGTCTCTAAAGCAAAACTGTGGCCAGTTAAGGCTGTGAAAGCAGCAGAAAAGCAGTAAAGAGAAGCCCCCATTTCTGTTTTTTATTGGCCTCTTCATTTAACATGTTTATTTCAATTTATTTCCCTTTTTTGGTACCTTGTTGTCTGCTGTTTTGAGAGGATGTAAAGCTGGAACTCGAACTGGAACTGGCAGGACTGGGCTGTTCAGTCTTAAAAGGAAAAAAAAAACAACAAACAAGAAAGTAAATAACATTGTAAGAAACATTTTTGCCTTAAATTCTTACTGTTAGTTAATGCTGAAGGCATGCTGTTGAGAAAAAGAACAATGAAACAGAATAATACAAAGATCTTTATTTCAAGTGTCAGTGAGGCAAACATTATGGAAATTGTTGTGCACTCAACATGCGTACCAACTCCTACATTATGTCTAGCTCTTTACAAGACCAGTATCTTAACAAGAAGTTCTGAATGCCTTGTTTGGAAGCTATACAACATGAGAGCCTAAATGAGTTTATAATAGACCTAAGGCTCCTGTGCCCCTTTTATACTGTAGCTGTCACATTTTCCAGATTAGTAATTAGAAGTTCTGAGCACACCAAACTACATGCCACAGCATTATTTTAACTTTCTTAGAAGGTAAGTCTTAAGATGAAGATTCAAGAATAGTATTTCTTTTCCTGCTATTGGATTTCTCCTCATCCCAATAGTTTCCATATGTATTAAGACCCTACAGATTGTCATAGTAATTAAAACAGGAAGGTTGCCTCAGTAAATTAGCTGGAACCCACAGTTACAAAAGAGACCTAGATTTTAAAGAATTGTTAAAATCAATGCACATTATTTAACAAACAGTTCTTTACATCGGTTTTCCCCTGTGGTTTAAAGTGTATATATTTCTCTCCAAAATTCTACAAAATCACTGGGAAAGGCCTACTAGTTCACTTAAAAACTGTCTACAATTTTTCTCATACTGGTTATGACTTATGAAGGTTTTGTTGAGAAATCTTGATTCCCTGCTGCCATGTTGCACATCTCCATACACTTTTTTGCTGTTTATTAGCCTCAGTGACTTGAAGTGCTCTGGTGTTAGTGTGTACTTACACACCCATCTGTGTACATGAGGCAGAACAAACATGGTATGTGGGCACAGGAGATGCTAACAGAGAACATAAACCAAGAAATAACAGTCCATAAAGAAGCAATGGTGAAAATCAGGGTAGGAACAATCTAAAAATCTACTACTGAAAAAAAATAAATCTGCTTCCACTTTTATACATCTGTGTTATTGCGATGTGTTATCCAGGCTAATAAAAGTTTTTTGACTCACCTTGCCTGTACTGTGTCCCTCATGATTAAGTCAGAACTAAATTGTTCTCAAAAATACCCAGCAAAAATACCTCATCACCGTAGAACTTGGTTTTCATGCACACACACTATCTAAGCTAACAGTTGTTTTTTCTCCATAAATCAACCTATTGTTGCCTCTTGTCATGAGCAGGCAGATTTACAGCCTCTTACCACCTTTTCTCATAATGACAGATGCTTGTGAGTGCAACAGGATGCTGATGAAAAACACCATTAACATCTGCTCTCCTCAAATCAACACCAGGCCCAGTTCTCACAGACACACAGTCCAAATACAAACTCTGGACCTGACTGTATGGCTGAACACAGCTCTTATACAAATGAATTGACTCTGCAAGAAAACTCAACCCAACCAACAAAGCAAACAATTTCTGAGTACCAAGAGTGATTCTTACATGGTCCACAGCATTAGGCACTTTCTGGAAGACTCTGGGCAGCAGCATCACTGGACACTGCTCCAAAAATTAAGCAATTCTGAAAAAAACTTTTTTTTTTTTTTTTTTTTTTTAAACCAATGCCTGAACTTCTGCAAAACAGTACAAGATATTTAGCTGTAAAATAATTATGATAAAATGAAACAAACTGCACTGATGAAGAACAAGAGTTTAAAGACGTCACCATTCTGGAAACTAATTTCTGGAAACTAAAGTCTTCCAACTTCAAGTTATTCCTAAACATCTGATTTATCTCTCACTTTCTTCTTTTTGCAGCAAAATTACTAGCTGACAGCTGGTTTCTGTAGATTTGCATTAACTGTTCTTTCTTTGTTAATTTCAAAATGAACTTAAGTTAAAGTAGAATCCACTCCTTTATCAATGTAGTAAACACTTAAAAACTTAATATTCCGTTTAAAATATTTGAAGAGCTATAACTGTAGGAAAATAATCACACAAGTGCAGAGAAAGCTGTCACAATTAGAACTTCATTACTTTCTTTTTGAACCAGTTTACTGGAAATGAAAAAAGGGAAAAGGTCTGGTCTCATTCACATATTTATAATGCATGAAAACACCAATTAAATTCCTCAGTGTAAGAATTATCTTCCAGCATCAATGAACTGAGACATGATCCCAGAAAAGAATTTATGTGAATACATATTAATTGTGATATTACCTCCCTGGTAAAAATTTTGATCTGCTTTAGGAAGATGACTTTGAGAAGCCAGAACACAGGAAGTCCCAGTGAAACACAAATAATCCACAGTCTTTTAAAAGAGGCTTTTAATGTCTCTTGAAACAATTTATATTACTTTCTTAAATGACCCAGTCTGAAAATTCATTCCAATTAATAGATTAGCATAAATGTTACAATTGTGAAGCACTGGCAATTACACCTATCTTTTTTGACTTTGAGAAATCTACAGCGAGAGCACACCCGGAGGAAACAGCTGCTTTTAACATAAGAATGAACATTAGTAATAGAAAAGACCTGCCTTTTTAGAAGGAACTAAAAATATGCCTTTTATATATGAATATGGATTAGTGCTGACAGGGCAAACGCTTCTGGTTACCAGAGGCTATCTTTTGTCACTTAAGCAAACCATTTTGACAGTTTTAAAGGCTGTCAGCCCGAGGGCCTATGTATTTATGGCTTTATTCACTTGGGCTTTCTGCCCTTATCCACTGGTTACTAATCAACAAACAGATTTAATTATTTTTTTTAATGGATCTGAAATTAGCTAAAGGGTGTCCTTCAACACTAAAAACTTAAAACAGTACCAGCAAAGAACTGATCTCATATGTCCTTTTCCTGTTTTCTCTTCCTGCCGACAAGCTAATGAGAGTTTGAGCTCAAACTGTTCATTAGTGCAATGACCCGATATGATTTACTGCATTCTTAGACAATCTGTTTCATCTAGTGCTCCCACACTGATGCACAGAAGACACTGGCCCCTTTATTAGGCCTGGTTGAAGGATTTTGTGCTTTAGAACTGTTTGGCAAGAAGAGGGATTTTTCTTTGGCTTAAGTTTTCCCTGAAAAGGCACCTTTTTCATCAACTCTAAATCACTTTGCTCCTGTCATTTCCAAGTTCTTGTCTGTGTTTACAAGTAGTACAACAACTTACTCTTGAACTGCAAACTTATTTTTAGTCAAACTTACCTGTTTATGACACAAGATATAATAGAGTTGTTTCTGGAATATTTTGTGGCTATCTGGATTCACATAAGTTTTTCTAAAAATAAAACCTATAATTCCAAGCTTTTTATTTACATTTTAAAAAAAACACACAAAAAAACCATCTGTATGTAGGTGCAAGTGTCTTTTCTTGCTTTCCCCTGAACTGTTTTTAAAGAAAGCTCACATCATGTTTCCTGAAATAAAATTTGAATGGTGTAGTGATATCCCATTTCGTACCAGTCAGTCCACATTATTTCCTATTTTTTACACACTATAGTCTGAAGATTTGTGTTTTCCTCTGCCATGCGCACTGAAATTTTAAAACTTCTCATAGCCAAGTATTGCTTTCACTTTGTTCCAAGTCAGATTCTCAGGAAAGAGGAACATGCTTGCCCAGTAAAAGCCTTCTCCTCTAGCAGAACTCCTGTACTTACAGTGACCACCTGTCACTGTCACCTCAGCTTTACTTAGTGCAGTAATCCAACACATCTGTAGCTCAAAGGACAGAACAACCCCACCTGGCCCATGAAGTCTCTGTCACCACCAAGGGAAACCACCATTTGAGTGTCTGTGGTACCTGAGCTGCTGGCACCCAGCCCAAATTCTGTATTATCACACCTCCGGTCAGGCTGCAACAGTAGTGACTAACCTCCAAGGCAGAATAAAACTGTAGCTTTTTAACCGTTCACAAAAAGTTAGCTTACAGATTGAAAGCTCACACGGAGGATGGAAGAACAGGGCTACTGAGTGGGAAGTGGGATTAATTACTTCCTTACAGAAATGGAAATACTTATTCATAAATATGATGTTTAAGAAATTAAACAATTACTTCAGAGACCTAATTTACAACTAAAGAAATGTAAAATTTAAACAGAAAATACCAGATTATTGATTTTTGAGAGGAGGCAGTCATTTGACAGATTACGTGACCTAAGATATTGACACAACTAGCTGCCTTAATTATTTATAATAATTTTAAACACAAATCACTGATGACTGATGGAGATTAGGTCAATTGTTAATTGACTCTGTACCTGCTACCCGAGCAAGTCTGTGGGCCCTGATGAGATGCACTCGAGTGCTGAGGGAGCTGGCAGATGTCATTGCAAGGCCACTCTCAATAACTTCTGATGGATCACGGTGACTGGCAGAAGCCAGTTCCTACTGGAGGAAGCCAAACATCACTCCTCTCTTCAAGAAGGGCAAGAATGAGGATCCAGGGTACTACAGTGTGGTGAGCCTCACCTTGAACCTTGGGAAGGTGATGGAGCAGCTAATAGTGAAAACCATTTCCAGGCACAGAAGGATGAGAAAACAATCAGGACCAGTCAGTGTGACCTTAGCAAGAAAAGCAATGATCAACCAACTTCATAAACTTCTGCAATGAAATGTGGCCTAGTAGAAGATGGGAGAGCAATGGATACTGTCCACCTGGACTTCAGGAAGGTCTTTGACACAGGCTCCCCTAATACCCTCATTTACAAGCTGTTGATATCTTGGCTGGATAAGCAGATACTGCTGTGTTCTGAAAACTGCCTGTTTGGCTGGGACCAGATGATGGTCCTCAGTAGTGTGAAGTCTGGTTGGAGGCAAACAGCTAGCAGTGTACCACAGGGGACAATACTGGGTCCAGTCCTTTCTTAACATTTTAATTAATCATCTGGATAATAAGACAGAGTGTGCCCTCAGCAAGTTTGCTGGTTATGCAATACTGGAGGAGTGGCTGA